TGAACGAGCGAACGAATTAATGAACGAATTAAAATGAAAGAATGAAACTGTGCTAAAATTTATTTTATGTTCAATAACAGTTTGCGGGCTGACTTTGCCTTATTATTTAATGTATTGATACTACTACTTCTACTACTACTACTACTACTACTACTACAACTACTACTACTACTACTACTACTACAACTACTACTGCTCTACTACAACAACAACTACTACTACTACTATTACTACTACTTCTACTACTACTACTACTACTACTACTACTACTACTACTACTACTACTACTACTACTGTTACTACTACTACTACTGTTACTACTACTGCCTACTACTACTACAGTTGCTGAACAAAAATGTTTATACTTATTGGTATCAGGAGTAGCAGTAGTGGTGGCAGCAGCAGTAGTAGCAACAGCAGCTGCAGTAATAGTAATACAAATGAAAAAAACAAAATTTTCCTCCGATAGCGAACCTACCTCGATTGCTAAAAAGCAATGCAATCGTGAAGCATTGAAAAATATTTCTAAAAAATTCCATATTTTACGACAGCAACAATTAAAACAACTACATAAATTTTCCTAAAACAATCGCTATAATACAATATTATGTCTTAAATATCTATTTAATAATTAAATTTAACATAAAAATTATTGACAAATTCTATTTGATATATAAAATATCGATTTTTATCTACTTTAAAAGAATGTTCATGTAATATATATGTACTTTTTCATGTCATTAAAGCATTATATTACATATATATATTTATTTATTTAAAGTTATATATATATATATATATATATATATAAAGTTATATATATATACATATATACAACATCTACCTATATACATATAAGTTTATAAGCTTAGTTTCATACAAATCACAAATACAACATATAAATATTACAATATAATAAGCTTAGTTTCATACAAATCACAAATACAACATATAAATATTACAATATGATATGATTCAATATATACGAAACGATATGGTATCGAAATGTATCTCAAAAATGCAATACATAGTACCGAACAATACCAGTATATTATTTCAGCACTTCTCAAGCTAGGGTTCGACATCATTTCAGAATGTTACATTGTTGGGAAAACACTGAGAAACGTCCGTAATAGTCTTAAAAAGGAGAAGAAGAAGAAAATGGCAACAATGATTTAAACATCAATATTTTGATGAATGTCTATGAAACAGCATCAGCAACAAACTGTAATCTGTAAACTCCTTACCTGACGGCAGACATCAAATGTCTCAACACAACAACAACAACAAACAACAACAACTACTCCTACTACTACTACTACTACTACTACTACTACTACTACTACACATTCAACATGCAGGTAAAGCAGAAGAGCTCGCCACACTCATTACTCCACCACCAACCATCCATCTTACTGATACTCCCACACGCTCCGCTACTTGTGTTCTTCCAGTTTGTAAAGGTCATGGGCGTATTGGAGGAAAGTTTGGATTTCCACATGAATGGTGGGTTAGCTGGTGTAGCCGCTACTGTAGGCAGTGTGGCGACTTCTTTAGCTGCTATCCAAAAGTTATTGTTTGTACAGATTGGCGTTGAAGCAACTGGAATAAAATGATTTTCTAAATTATTTTTTTCTAATTTATGGTTAAACTTGCAAAATATTTCAAAATTTGATTTAAAAAACTTGAAAGCATATTGAAAGCTGATTAAATTCTTGAAAAATTTAGTGAATCTACACACAGAAATTCAAAAACACTCTCAAATCTTCATTTTCAGCCTGCGAAGTTATCACGGGTAGACCATTGTACAAGAGATTGCACGTGTTCAAAGCGTTCGTCCAATTATCAGGCTTGTTGATCATTTCAAATTTCTTCTTGAATTCAGGAAATGGTGACATGAAGATCTTGCTGTACTCTTCGAAGTTGTTGGAGGATTAAGTCGAGTTATCGATTTTTATGTAAATAATCATTATAAAATGAAATTAATAAAATATTCATTTAAATTTAAAATATAGAAACAGCAAACAAACAAACAAAAATGTACTTAAACCAACCTTCATTCTTCAGATAAACTTTCATTAATTCTAAACCGGGATAGACTAAAGTAACGTTACCCAAAGACTTCGCATTTATGATACTACACCCGACACTCTTATCGCCATCTTTGTAATAGAAACCAGAGCAGTTTTTCATCAAACTACATTTCATAGAGCAACAAAACCGACGACTTTTTGTACTGGATCTTTGGCTCTGATTCGCTTCAGCTGCTGCTGCTGTTGCTGTTGTCGTTGTTATTGCAGTATCGATGACGTCATAGTATGGCGATGCTAAATAAACAGTATTAGTAGCAGTAGCATTAGTAGTAGCGGCTGTGTTATTAAAAGCTCCCTGGTGGTGATACTCAATCGACACTAGATATTTCGTTTGGCTTGGATTTTTTATGAACGTCATCTCGATTGATGAGTTTGTTAGCTCTACTTTGGAGAATATTAAACGTTTGTATGTGCTCTCTTTGATAGTAGAAGGAGAAGTTCCTATCATTTTTGTTATCATCATTAAGGTAGTTAGCAATGCTATTTCCATTTTAGTTTGATTTTATTATTTTCTCATTTATATATTCATTTATTTTATTTTTCTTATAAATCTTTGGCTAAATAGACTAATGTCAAGTTAAACTTTTTCTGAGAACAAGTTGAGCAAAGTAGATTATAGAAATTCGGTAGGAATGGTTTTATCGAGAGAGAGAGAGAGAGAGAGAGAGAGAGAGAGAGAGAGAGAGAAAGAAAGAGAGAGAGAGAAAAGGAGAGAAAAATATAGAAAAATAAAAAGAGAAGAAGGAAGAAAGAAGGAGAGAAAGATAGAAAAAGAGAGAGAACTGCTGGCTACCAAAATAGACTTTTAATCGTCCCATTGTCTACTCGCTTAACTTTATAATGGATACTCTCTTTGAAGTTAAAAAAAAAGTATGTTCAAATGTGCGTGTGTATGTGTGCGTGTGCGTGCGTGCGTGTGCGTGCAATGAAGCAACTTGTTAGAAACAGGGCTGTGAGACAAATTTATTCCTTAGGTTAGGCCCAAAAGTGGGCAAACTTTTTGTTGTGTGGGCTACAACTATTACTTCCGCTTTTATTTTTACAACTTAGTAACTACCAAAAATACTAACTTCAATACACGCAATCTTATGTAACGTCAGATCTTTTAACATCTAAACTGTAATATAATAATCGTAAAAAAATAATAAAAATTTATTTTATTATTACAATAATAATAATTATTATCATAAATTATTTTTATTGTTATTATTGTTAAATATCACGTAAGAGCAATAAAAATGACATTTATTTCATATGTAACATTGTCGGTTTTAAGTTATTTGTCTCCTAGCACACAAACCCAATATACTTATAATTGTATTATTTTATTATCATTACTACTACTACTATTACTACAACTACTGATACTACTACTACTACTGCTGTTGCTGCTATGGTATGTGTTGTGTGTGTGTGTGCGTGTGTGTGTATATGTTACCTTTAATGTGCGTGTGTGTGTGTGCGCGTGTAAGTTTGTGTGTGTGTGTGAGTGTGTGTGTGTGTGTGTGTGTGTGTGTGTGCTTGTGCGTGTAATGCACACCTTTACAAAGGCAGAATACATGGGTCAGACATTAAGACTCATTTGTCATCTGTCAAAAGAAGTTCTCAGTTTAAAATAAATGAGTATATTATTTATTATATTATTCTGTTTATTTGATCAACATTTTTCACAATAACGACATTAAAATTTTTTTTAAAACATCTAAAAAAAAAAATCAGAAAATTATATCTCAACAGTTTTTCATTTCAATTTAATACATTTCAATTTCAAGTTCACACTGTCTACATGTGTGTGAATGATTGCCAGCACGATGTGTGCTATAAGAAAAATTTCAAAAACTAATTTGCATAACTTGCAAGTTTAAACTTCATGATCATGTAACTACAAAAACCAAAACAATAATGAAACCACACCCCGCAAAATTTCTTACTACAGTCCATAGCTTTACAGAGTCCATCAGCAGAGTTGGTGATAAAGTTTCTTATTTCTTAAGTTTGGGTGAAAGGAAACAGACAGATTTTTGTAATTAATCAGCATTCATTCTTTCGCACACACACACACACACACACACACACACACACACACACACACACACAGCTAGTATTTAGCAACATCAGCATCAAATTTAGCTCCATATTTTAGTTAGTTTTACTTTTCATTGCTAATTGTACGGTAACGTATAATAATATATTGAAATATTTTGTGATATTTCACAATCAAGATTTTAAATTTTATAATTTTGAGGATTAATCAGTAAAAAATCTTTCCAAAAAATGCGTTCTAGCACACGCTCATGTTTGTTTAACTAAAATCATTTGTAAAGCATAAAAATTGAAAATAGAAGCATCGAAATATCAATAACATTTTGTGGAATATTTAGGAGATACCGGGTGGGACAAAAATTCGGGCGCTCCCACGCCAAACTTTGGCCTGCCCTCTCAATGATCCCATCAAAGTTGTTACAGTATACTATAATTCATGATACAATATAATTCATACTATAATTCAATGTCTTCATTTCACAGTACGATCCATAATTCACAACTCATAATATAATAAAATACAATAATAATAAAATATTTTAATCACGAAAAGAACATCATAATGTGTTTGTTATTTGTTCCGTCTCCCCACTCTCACTAAAGTGGGCTCATTGTTTGACAGCCATAGAAGCATTCAGTCTCACTGCATGTGCATTAGCAAGCATAAATCATCTTCGTCATCTTCGTCATAATCATTGACTTTTTTTATTGGGCGCATTAAGTTGCTGGAAATCATATCAATGAAATCGAAGCCGAATTTAAAGGAGGAAAGGTCGGTCTATTGCTCTGAAGCCCTCTTAAAGAAAAAGGGCTTCTAAAAGAGAAGAATCAAGAAGAAAGGTAAATTAAAACATCCAGACTACTTATCAATACACGTAGTTTTTCAACTGCTAATATTGAAAATGATTCCAATACAGCATTTATTTCAGCTTTAAATGTACATGTACGTTTTTTAAAAAAAAACACCACGTCATTAAAACTTTCTACAAAAAACTGTCCCCATCGGAGATTCACTTTGCGAAATCGTCAATCGCAAACTCGCAGGCGTAGCATAGCAATTTTTTACTGCAATCACTCATACGCCATGTGCCAAGCTCTCTGTTTATCGCCAAGCAAGTCAAATTACTCTTTTCTTCATCAGGATTCTCCCAGTTTCTGTAAGAACTGACTGGGAGTCTTTTAACTTTGTGCCATTCTATATTGGAACCCGATTTATCGGATGCTGCTTTTTTACCAGAAGTCCAAAAGTAATCAGTGCAATTTTTATTAACAGAACCTGAGTATAAGAGAAAATTATCGTCACTGTTCAAATATATTAACGCCCGTAACTTTATTTTCCCCAATCATTCGTCACTTACTGGTCTTGAGAAATTTTCTTAGATTTTCGTTTTCATGTTTATTTTTTATGCTAGGCAGACTTGCCTTGAATTCATCTCTGCAATAATTCCTTGCTTCCTCCCATTTGCTCTCGTTTCCAAAAAATACATGCATCTTCTTCTGCGTATTTAGAGGTTGTCCAAAAATCTTTTCATGATCTGTTAGAGATAAATGATTGAAATTCTATTCATATTGGTGCTTGATATGAATAAATAAGAAGTAGCAGGAGCAAATTTTAAATGATCAAATACGAATATGCCCAATTCTACTAACCTCCACTCCTCAAGAACACCATCATCTTCTCAAGACCGAAGTATGTTGCAGTGATGTTCCTCAAATTATCCACATGAATGATTCTACAATCGTCTCTTTCACCGTTCCGTTTGTAGGCGAACCCAGCACAACTGGCATTCAAACTGCATTTCACCGAACATGTTCTCTTCAGGTCACTATTTGAACTTCTACAGCCATCCCCAATGCACGAGGATGCTTTGTTGTATTCATTTTTGTGAGAATCTGCGATATAGATCGGCTCCAGTGAGATGATAGTTGTATTTATCTTAAAATTTTTTTTAAGCCTTTTGGCCAGATGTTTGGGTCGAATTTTTTCAAATGTAATGCGTTCGTACATGACACCGATTGAATGACCGGTCTGGACTGTCCGTACGTCAGCACTGTTGTAACGGACAACCAACAACAACATCAACAACAAATTTAACCTCCTCATCTTACGCAATTTCCTCTACAAGATATCTCACTTCAATTTTCAAAAATTTTAGTTTCAAACATGGAGAACAACTTTAACATCAGACTAGTTTTTTCGATTTTACTGTTAACTGCAAGCTATTTAAATACATATTTGTAAAAAACACAATAAAATTATGTATAATAATTATATACAATATAAAACCCTTTATATAAATAAATATATGTAGTATTAAACAGTAATATTATTATTAGGTGATGGTAGTTGTTGGCAAACTTAGAAAAGACGGTATTGTTGACGTTGTAAATTTTTTTCCATATAACTACATCCTCCTCAGACAACTTTCCACTCTTGAATGTTTACCATCGTTCGGCTTGGAATGGATTCTTGCTGCAGTAACTTCTTTACTAGAAATGGCGTTTCTTCGCAGTGTTATTCATATTTTATGTATTATTAACATTTTGAGACAATGTATCAATAGAAATATATTCATTTGGCAAACAGTTTAAAACGTTTTAATGGTAACTTAACGGCATTGACAATCACAAAGAAGCCATTATAAAATAAAATCCACGCAAAAACACGCTAAGTTAATTTATAAAAATAATTTGATCCATGATGAGTTTTTTCATAAATTTTAATAGTTTTCCTAAATATTTGACACACACACCACACACACACACACACACACACACACACACACACACACACACACACACACACACAATCACACACACACTAACCTACACACACTCACACAGATACATACATAAACACACAAACAAACACAGGCATAGACGTACAAAGTAATTGTAAATTAAAACCATTACATATTCTAAAACTAGCAACACGCAAACACGTTACATAAATTAAAATCACACAACATGACGATGTGTGTCCCATTGTTACCATTAATACCAATACTAATACATTAATACCATTATTACCGATAGTTGTAGCTATATGAGTAACAGTGGTGGTTGCACCGGTAGTAGCAACTACAACAGCGGCATTATACCACTCACAAAGCGCAAACGTAGCACAGATTAGCATTACAATCTTCTTCTTGCCAGTAGCCGTAATCTCTACCGATGGTCAAACACAAATTCGTATTTGTCGGCATGTTGGGTTCCCAGTTCGTGTAGCCAAGTATGGAGGACCTCGTCGGCTGGTTCCATTTGAAAGCTGAATGCACACTGCTACTAACTCTTCTTCCAGATGTCCAGTATTGTTTCTGGCATGAGGTGTTGTCTGTATCTGGGGATATAATAGTAATCATTTTGTAATGTTTATTATTTTGTAATGTTTATCATTACTGTCGTTGCTAATATTGCTGCTGCTATTGTTACTACTACTACTGCTGCTGCTGCTGCTGCTGCTGCTGCTGCTGCTACTGCTACTACTAATAGTAAAAAGAAGAAAAGGGGAGACATCTGTAATTGTTAAAAAGTGACATTTTGTGAAATTCCTAATTAAAATCCATTAAAATCTAATAGAAAAATGTCTTCTTACTAGAAAATCAACATAAAAAGTTGAAAAAACCTACTCAAATAGAGAAAATCTTTTAGAATCGTGTTCTCGTTCTGACTAAAGATTGCGGGCAGACCGGTGTAGGGGGCGCTAGCGCACGTGCTGTCGGCAGTGGCCCAAGTTGAAGGTGTGTTAATTGGGTAAAATTTTGGAGGTGAGTTGGTGGTCAGTGTAGTTTGTGGTGGTTTTGTGGTGGTTTTTGGTGAAGGTGTAGTTGCGGCTTTTTGTGGTGTGGTTGTAGTTTTTGACGGTGTGATTGTTGTTAGTAGCTGTGTTGTTGCTGTTGTTTGTGAGTACTGCAAAGTTGATGCAACCGATTGAGTGGATCGAGATGATGCTTTCAACAGTTCTGTAAAATCTATACAAACCAAATTTTTTTTTTATTTGGAATTTTTGTCAAGTTTTATAAAAAATCCATGAATGAATTTATAAAATTTTCTCAAGTAACCTACCTGTACTTCTCAGGTACACAAACATTGAATGAATGCCAGGATGAACTTTTCTGATGTTAGCTAGATCTTCAAATTTGAAAAAAACACAAGAATCATTCTCAACTGCGACGTACCCAAACCCGCAACAATTGAAATTACTGAGACTACATTTTAAAGAGTATTCATAGTTTAAACGACTTCTTAAGTTTTTATCTGCGGTTCTTATTTGGCTGTCGTTTGTCAGAACACTAGAGAGGTGTTCATCAGAGTATTTGAATAAAAAATAAACTAGATTTATGTCAAATGTCAATTGCTCTAATGAGAAGATATTAGATTTTAGACTGAGAGAATTCAGCAGTAGTTGTTGCAGAGATGAGTTTGTTAATTCAAGTTTTACAAAAATTATTCTCTCGTATTTTGTTTCTTTAATTATCGAGCCTTTACATGTTAGTAAGAAATACGTTGAAATCAGAAGTGATGCAGTAGTTAATGCTTCGAATGAATTCATCGTTGCCGTGCGGTTTGCTGGTTTTCAACGTTTTGTGGGAGCATAATCTCTTGCACCTGGCAGTTTTATGTCAATTTATTTAACTCTTGGCATGTTTGAGTGACTGTATAGATCACGTTTTCACGCGTATGTCATATATGATTTATGTATACGTTGTATGTGATGTTGAAGCCTCAGATTAAAAAATTTCTTTTATGTTTCTCTCTCTCTCTCTTTTTCTCTCTCTCTCTCTTTTTTATTTATCTCTCCAAATAAAAAAAATTCATTTTAAAAAAAGTGCAGTGCTTAAGTTGTTGCACAACCTTGCAAAATTCCACTTATATGGCCCTGGCACAACTGTACATTGTTGTAATGATCATTGATGTATTGCTCTCTACGTCATATTTATCAGCGATTCAGCGGTTCAATGTGTGTTTGATAAGAAAGGCATTGAGGTAGCTTCGTTGTGATAGCTCAATGGTTAGGTCGACTTTGTATCGCAGTGAACACGTTCAAGTGCAAACATATCCTAGCTTATTATATACCCTTAATTGTTTGAACGGTTCATTCGAGCTGTGCGTGCTTGTCAAGCTTTGAAAAGCGCAGTTGATTGCAGAGGACTGGGATTATGATTGATTGTTCTGAGTATTTCATTTAACAAATAACGCCTGTTGCGAGCGATGAAATGTAAGAACATAATTAATTGTTCAGGAATGAAAAATGTCAGGTATGTCAAGCCGTTCGTTCGTCAAGTGACGTGACGACGACTTACTTTGTAACCTTAACGCTTTTACAACGTCCCTGCTCTCTCTCTCTCTCTCTCTCTTTCTTTCTCTTTCTCTCTCTCTCTTTGTCGTTATTTCCCCCCCCCTCTCTCTCTCTCTCTCTCTCTCTCTCTCTCTCTCCTTTCTTTGCGATCTGAAGACTAAATGTTCTTTTGTCTTTATTTTAATGAAATGCTCCTTTGGTGGGTTTAAAAATTTTATTTTTTTCCAAAAATCAAACGATGGAAATCGATGATTTGACATTGAAAAGTACTCAAGCTTGAATGGTTCGGTGGAAACTTCTGATTCACCATCAAAGCATTATCTTCACCAAAAAGTTGCATTTATTAATTCAATTTCTCGAACTATCAAAGATGATTTTAACAAAATACTTGTACTATAACATATATATATATATATATATATATATATATATATATATATATATATATATATTGAAGAACTGATATATATATATATATATATATATATATATATATAAATGTGCGTGTGTATTTGTGTGCGTGTATGTGTGCCTGTGTGTGTGTTTGTGTTTGTGTGCGTGTGAGTGTAGTATAGTGATCGCATGTGAATGAATAGAATATTAGTGCATTAACACACAAGTTTAGAATAATACATATAAACCTGAAGATAATGAGTAACTCATACACACACACACACACTCACACACACATACACAGACACACACACACACACACACACACAAACACACACACACATATATATATATATATATATATATAATGTTTGCATTAATCTAATATAGTATTGATATCATTCAAATTTAGAATGCAATGATAATTAAACATTTTTCTTCTAAATTTTAAATGCGAAAATTCAGAAATATAAAAATTAACATCATTGACATTGCAAAGATATTTTTACATTCATATAGCGATTTTTCAATACTAAACACTGCTATATGTATGCTTGATGTCAAGTATCAGATCTTTTATACGTATATGTAAAAAAAAATATTAAAAAAGTGAAAGAATTATACTAAAAAAATAACCAATAAATATAAATATATAACAATATTTATAGATATATATATATAACTAATCAATCAATCAATCAATCAATAACTTGAAATACAATAAAATTCAACTAAGATTTAGGGTGAACAATATAAGCTAGAATTAAATAGCATTGCTCAATCAATCAATCGATCGATCGATCAATCATTCAATCAGCCAATCAATCAGTCAATCAATCAATCAATCAATTAACTAATTAAAAATCATCACTATTATTCCTTCTCAGTCCTCCATTGCGATTCGAACTCGGTTTCCTCAAGTTATCCTCGCCAAAATTTTTACCGAAGCCGATATTTTTATCATTGAGATAATTGGCATTGGCGTATTCAAAGTCATCGTCATCCATTTTTGAATTATTTTTCAATGAATTCTTCGAGAATTTATTATTATTATTCCTATTATATTGATAATTATTAGTATTGTTATTAATGTTTTTTGAGTTATTGGGAGTTGTCACACGTTTCGTTTCTCCTCTTCCTCTCATTGGTGAAGGATCCATCCCAAAATGGTTTTCCTTGTTCTTAATGGTGCTATTATAACTATTATTATGATTATCACCAACACTGGTGCCCTTGCTGCTGCTTCGTCTGTTTGTGTAATAATTCGAATCATTTTCATCATCATCGTCGTCGTCATCGTCGTCGTATCTTTTAATTTTTTGACCGCCTTTTGCTGGCAAATCATCACTCTGTGAGAATTTGGAGAAATTATTTCGGCCAGTGTTAGAGCCAGAGTTGTTCAGTTTGTTTCTGCCTAGGGCGTGTCCTTCATTTGAACGACTGCTCAAGTTTACGTGCATGTCTGTTTTTACATCAGAAAAATTTCTCCCTTTAAATGATTGAAGGCGGTCATCGTCAAACATGGCGGGTTTTTCCTGAACAAGATTTCTCTCAAACTTATCGTGGTACTTGTCGGCGATATCTAAACTTCTCAAAG